ACTAACCCTAAAGCAGTCAAAAAAACAAATATATAATAGTTACTAGCAGTTAGGAAAGGAAAGAATAGGAATTGGAAAGAAATAGAAACAAAAATACTAATATAATAGAAAAAGGTTGTCATAGAAAAGAGAGGTGGGCAAGGAAATTAATAGAAATGGGAAGGAATCAAATAGAAAAAAAGACTGCGGTGTTGTAGCTACTATAATACCGCGAAGGTAAGCTCCCGAGTCATGAGCATTTAGTGGTGTCCATAGAAGGCTCTAGAGTTAGAATTGAATATTCTCCCTAAGCAGCTCAAGTATGCCTTTTTTAGAAGAATCCTTTGCTTTGCCCATTATAATTTATGCTGAGTTGATTGAGTTAAAAGAGGCAAAGCTGATAAGAGTTTTGAAGATATTTAGAAAAGTCTTTGGTTGGATCATAACTGATATTAATAAATAAGCCCTCTTCTTATGCATGCATAGGATTCTTATGGTGGAAGATCATGATTTCAAGGCCGATCCTTAGAGGTGGCTAAATCCATTGATGAAAGAGGAAGTGAAGAAAAAGATATTGAAATGGTTAGATGCCGAAATTATCTTTCTAATTTCAGATATTGAGTACCCAAAAAGGATGGAGTGTCTGTGGTGGAGAATAAAAAAACTTTTTTATACCCACTATGAGTGTCACTAAATAGAGGATTTGCAATGACTATAGAAAACCGAACAAGACCATTAGCAGGGACCATTTCCCTCCACTTTCTCTAGTTAAATGTTAGATAGATTGGCAAGGCCCATACTTTTGTTTTAAATATGGTTATTTCAGTTATCAACAGATTCTTGTAGCCCCTGAAGTCCTAGATAAAATAATGTTTAGTCTTTATGAAAATTTTGTTTTTAGAGGATGCTCTTGGGACTATGCAATGCCCCAGTAACATTTCAGCGATGTATAAAGTTTATCATTTCTGATTTCATAGAAACAAAAATTGAGATCTTTATGGATGACTTTTTCGTGTTTGACACATCATTTAACTCAAGCCTTGAAAATCTTGCCAAGGTTCTACAAAGGTATGAAGAGACCAACTTAGTGCTGAAGTGGAAAAAATATCAATTCATGGTGACTGAAAAGATAGTGTTAGGATATAAGGTTTCTGAGAATGGGATCGAGGTAGATAAAGCCAAAATTCAGGTGATAGAAAAATTACCCCGACTTCTATTTGAAGAATTTTGAGTTTTTTATACTGAATTTTATCATCGATATATTAAGAATTTCTCTAAGATTTCAAAGCTCTTATGCAATTCATTAAAGAAAAACTTGGCCTTTATATTTGATTAGAAATGCCTTACCACATTTAAAATTTTGAAAAATAAATTAGTCATGACACATAATTGTTGCATAAGATTGGGATATTTCATTTGCGTTTATGTGCGACTGTTGACCTCATTTTTAGTGAGGTCTAGTCT